GTGGAATTTGGAGTTGCGTTGGCTTTGTTCGTTCTGTTCGTTGGGTTTCCTTTGGCGCTGTTGGCAGCGTTTGGTGGTAGCGGCTCGTCTCCGCTTGGTTCTTGCTGCGCTTGGTGCTGCAATATTTTGGGACTTCTTTGTTTGCTTGGTTTGTGCTCCTCTTGTCGCTAGTGAGTTTTCTTTTCTGGGAAAGATGGATTCTGCCAAGCTTGATTCGGTTTCTATTCGTCTTGATGGCAAGAACTTCCCTCTCAGGGAATTCCAGTTTCGGAATTTTGCAGCTGGCAAACATCTTCTTGGGGTATTGTTGGGCGAGGTGAAAGCGTCTTCTGCGGATGCGGCGGTACGAGATCGTGAAGACTGGGCAGCAGCTAATGCTCAGCTCATCATGGGCTTGGCTTCTTGTGTTGATACCGCCACCACCCTCAGTCTGTGTCCCTTCACCACTGCTGCTGAGATGTGGCAGCACATCACTCGTACTCATTCTCAAAATAGCGTCTCTCGTCAATTTGAACTTGAGATCGAGATTGGGCGTTTGATGCAGGGTGATCGAGATATTCGGGGTTATTATCAAGCTTGCTTGCATCTTTGGACCGAATATGATTTGCTGACGGCGTCACTTGTCTCTGGTTTGGATTCTGCGGCTATCATTCAAGAACGTAGTCGCACTCGAGTTATGCAGTTTTTGTCTAAATTGCGTCCCGAGTATGAACCCATTCGTGCTTCTCTTATTCACCGTGGGGTTACTACTCTTGAGGATGTTATTGGCGAGCTCGTCCGGGAAGAGACTCGTCTTAGGAGTCAGTCACAGATTGATAATTCTGCTGGCGCTGATTCTCCCTCGGCATTTGCGGTGGGTAAGTACGGTTCGTCATCTCGTCCTCAGTTTACTCGTCCTTCGACGGGTGAGGTTATCTGTCACTTCTCCCGTGAGAATGGGCATCTCCAAATTCATTGCAAAAATCAAAATTTTTGCAATTATTGCAAGAAATCCGGGCACATTGTTTTGGACTGTCCTACGCTGAGTCGTCGTGGCAAAGCTCGTCAGCCCCGGCTCATCGTTTGCCTGCTGCCTATGCTGTAACTGAGACAGCCTCACCTGCGGGTTCGGCTGCTAGTTCTTCGACTATGGCCTTCTCTCCCAAACTGGTTCGTAAGCTTGTGCAGGATGCCTTACACGAAGCCCTTCCGTCGGCTCTCACATCCGCTTTTGCCACAGGTGCTGCCCCCGGTAAGTCTGTGACTTGGCTTCTTGATTCTGCGGCGTTCAATCATATGACGCCAGCCCGGGATTCTTTTTCTAGCCTTGGTCCTCCTCCGTCCCTTTCTCTCCAGGTCGCCAATGGTGCTAACTCCCTATTCTAGACTGTGGCTCTTCTGCTTTTGGTCCTGTTCACCTTCCAAATACATTATATGTCCCTGCATTAAAACCCAGCCTTGTCTCTGTTGGTCAATTGGCGGAAGCTGGGTGCGATGTTTCCTTTAATTCTCGAGGTTGTCTTGTGCAGGACCGGAGGACGGGGAGGGTGCTCGGGAAAGGCAGTAAGAAGGGTCGTGTGTATGTTTTGGACGAGATGGGCAGGGAGACTAGTGCTAGTTCAAAAGGGGGACATGGAAGTGGACAATGGGCATGCATGTGACACTAGGAAGGAATGCGCAGGAGGAGTAGGTGCTTCATTGGCAAGTGTTGTGTCTTTGTTTTGTAATGATCAGTTTGAGGATTCTGTTTGTGATCAGTTTGGGGTTTCGAATTGTAAGGGTCAACCTTGATTTTCTGGGCACCCTGGATATTCTGTTCGGCAGTTGGATTTTTCTGTTAAAGCATCAGTTTGGGACTTGTGGCATTGTCGTTTGGGACACCCACATACTGCTCGTTTAAATACTATGTTTCGTCGAAATTTGCTTCCTGATAAGTTTGATCCTGTGACTGTTCCCGTTTCAACGTGTGTTAGCTGTATTGAGGCGAAGACATCACAAATTTCATTCGCTGCCAGTGACACCGTTTATGAGGAACCTTTTGACTTGGTCCATACCGATTTATGGGGTCCTTCTCCAGTCACCTCATGTATGGGATATAGGTATTTTACTTTATTTATAGATCATGCTACCCGCTTCGCATGGATCTATTTTCTGAAGCAGAAGTCTGAACTCACATCGTTCGCAAAGGAATTTGTGCAAATGGTCAAGACGCAGTTCGGTAAGACCATCAAGATCTTAAGATCCGACCCAGGCGGTGAGTTCTCTTCCAAAGAACTTGATGCATACTTCAAATTGGAGGGTATCCTTCCCCAGCAGTCGTGTCCGGGGGTTTCCCAACAGAATGGGTTGGTAGAACGTAAGCACCGCCATGTGCTCGAGCTTACTCGTGCACTGTTGTTTCATTCCCGGGTCCCTAATCGTTTCTGGGTGGAGGCCGTGCACACGACTGTGTATTTGATTAATCGTCAAATCACACAGGTTTTAGATCAGCGTTCCCCATTCCAGGTTCTGTTCGGTACTCTTCCTGACTATTCAGCTCTCCGCGTTTTTGGCTCGGTCTGTTTTGTGTTGCTGCAGCGGAAAAAAAGAACGAAACTGTCACCTAAGACTGCTCGGTGCGTTTTTCTGGGGTACAGTGATAAGCATAAAGGGTATTTATGTTATGATGCAGCTGATCGCCGTATGCGAATTGCTTGTCATGTCGTGTTTCTGGAACAGGTTATGTACTTTGCCGATGCAAAAGGTGAGACAACCGAAAGCTTGTCCCTTGACTTCCTTACGTCACTGCCCATTTTTGACACTCCTATTGTGCAATCACCCCATGCAACGACATCCCATGAGGAGAGCATGGGCGAGACTTCCTCTATGTCACCCTTGAGTAATCACCAATACAGTAGTTCTTCAGCAGGGTCTTCTTCGGCTAGCAACAGTAGCTCTTCCGCGGGATCTTTCTCTAACAGCAACAGCTCCTCCTCGTCTAGTGTTGGATCTTCTTCCGCTACCCACAGCTCGCACACTACTACGAGCTCGGATGACTCGTCACCAGCACCTTCTCCTCCGCAGACAATGGTGCCCTTGCACAGGTCTACCCGAGCTAATTTGGGACAGCCACATCCTCGGATGCTTGATTATGTGGGATATAGTGCTGAGCCTATTGTGATTTCGAGGAGCTATTCTGAAGCTAAGGGCGATCCACGATGGGAAGGAGCCATGACGGAGGAAACTAATGCGCTTGATGCGAATCATACGTGGGATCTTGTCCCTCGAACACCTGAAATGCAGGTTATTGGTAGTCGATGGGTCTATGCAGTGAAGATGCATTCTGATGGCACTTTGGAACGATTTAAGGCACGGGTCGTGGCTCAAGGATTCAAACAAGAATATGGTATATATTATGATGAGACTTTTGCTCCAGTGGTTAAGATGCAAATGGTCTGATGTGTTTTTGCAGTTGCGGCAATGAAAGGGTGGCCGTTATTTCAGTTAGATGTGAAAAACGCGTTCCTTCATGGTGATCTAAAGGAAACCATATATATGGAGCGCCCTCCAGGTTATGGGAAGGGAGATTCGAGCATGGTCTGTAAGCTGGTACGATCGTTATATGGACTTAAACAGGCACCACGTGCGTGGTTCGAGAAATTTCACAGTACTATTGCTCAAGAGGGTTTTACACAGAGTTATAATGATCCATCCTTGTTCTTGCGCAATACCGTAGATGGAGTGGTGATTTTGCTTATATATGTGGACGACATGATCATTACGGGCAGTGATACCCAAGGCATTGATGAGTTAAAGGCTTCACTTCATCGTTCCTTTAATTTGAAGGACCTCGGTGCGGTGGAATATTTTCTTGGGTTGCAAGTTCAGCGCTCGGAACAGGGTCTCTTTGTTTCTCAGAAGAAATACATTGCAGATTTGCTCGAGACAGCCCAGTTTAGCACCTGCATTCCATGTTCGACACCCATGGAACAGAACCTGAAGTTACAACAGGAGAGTGGTGAGTTACTTGAGGATCAGTCTACATATCCCAGCCTGGTGGGAAGTCTGATTTATTTAACACACACTCGTCCAGATATCTCTTACGTTGTTCAGGTGGTCAGTCAATTTTTGGGAAGGTCAAGGACAATGCATATGGATGCTGTACACAGGCTGTTACGCTACCTCAAGCAAACAGATGATGTTGGTATGTTTTTCCCATCGAAAGGTGAACCAGTTGTGGAAGCTTTTGCAGATGCCGACTTTGCAGGCTGTAAAGATACTCGGCGGTCAACGTCCGGATGGTGTATTCGAGTGGGACCATCGTTTGTGTCTTGGAGGTGTCGCAAACAGGATCGGGTGTCTAAATCTTCTACAGAAGCAGAATACCGATCTATGTCTGAGGTGAGTTCTGAGATGGAATGGATATACCGCTTGCTTGGTGAGTTGGGAATGTCATGTCGACTACCTATGAGGATTTACGGCGATAATACGAGTGCTATACAGATCGCCATAAATCCAGTGTTACACGATCGGACTAAGCATATCGAGGTTCATGTCCATTACATTCGACAGCTGATTGCAGAGGGTACAACACAGCTTGGGTACTTAGCTACAGAGGATCAGACTGCAGATATTCTGACTAAGGCGCTGGCTTCGAGTAGGCATTGGTTTCTCTCATCCAAATTGATGTTACACACCCGACATCAATTTGAGGGAGGGTGTTGAAATATAAAACTTAATGTACTACTTTGTAATTAGCCAGCCGCCTAGTAGTATATATTTGTAGCTTGTACGTACAGAAACCCTAACGAGAATAATACGTTTGCCTTGGAGAGTTCTACCTCTCCCGTGGACTAGTCCTGATACTCAGGGAAACCACGTTAAATCCTTGTGTTCTTTACGTTTTAGTATGCTCAATTGACACTCTGCGCTACTATATGGGTCATCCTGTTTGCTGAGCGGTGTACAACAGGAAATAATAAAAGTTGAACTGATATACAAAGAATCTTGATTTCCAGAAAGATTGTGCCCTCCCAATGGTTAATGATGGGTCTGGTTCATTAAGGCTAATTGTGCTGCAGAAACCATGTCCGGTCGCCTTCGATTATGACCTTGTAAGGTGAAAGTGCACACGAAGTCGAGCGATATCATTAGCTGTCAGCATTTCTGCCAAGTAAGGGTCACTGGCTCGCTAGTGCATGCATATATTGCACCCAAAGCTTAAAAAAAAAGGTGCTCTCAAGCAACGACTCACACGACCTGGTCGTCCAAGGCGTAGGTGGGGGTGTTCGGGCCTGCAGTGCCCAATTCTGCGAAGGTGGCAATATCTGCTCGCTGACCTGCGAAACAAATTGCTAACTAAGGATAGAAGACAACAACTGGCCATTGTGAACGCAGCAGCAAACCGACTGTTTGCAGAACTTAGCTCCACCAGATAGTAAAGTTGCTCATATCAGCCATGAACACCAGGAGATACCGAGATACACCATAATCTCGTCAACAAATGAATCCCATCCAACACATGGAAAGGAATGTGTACCAAGAAAGCGGTTGCCACCCATTTCGCCGACAGGTGAATCTAGAAATCGCTTCTGATTTTCCCCGTTGGAGTGGAACTCCACTCCAACAATTTGGACATCGTGCAAGTTGCCGCAGGGCATCTATAGATTGCGCCACAGGAAGGCCGTGGCACCATTCCCGCCAATCCGAGATGAAATTTCACAGTTTTTACCATGCTTAGTAGTTAACAAGTCATTGGAACTGGAAGTTAGAAAAAACAGGTACGTATAATGGTTTACAAGGGCAAAAACTAGCCTTAGCCTGAAACAGATACATCATTACATAAACTTCCCCACACGGCTGTGCCGTCAGGATGGACATCTACGAAGTACTTCACAAATCGTTTATCAGAACATGCAAGAATAGTGCTTAAAGACAGCTCGGCTTTTGCAGCCCCTTTGCTTCTCAACCACACATACATTCTGAATCTCTTATTGATCTTCTCTACGTCATAGCATAAATACGCTGGGAATGCTGCCATTGAATTAACATGATAACCCAAATAGCTTGTCAAGCAGTCAATCTTCTTCTCAAGTACTTCGGTTGTCTGGTTAAGCACCATTGGAGCTCGTTTAACTAGGCTCGTGGCAAGGTTTGGATCCAGGCCAGCTTGGACCAAGAAATCGAACCTCTCCTGCAACTGATCCCCTCTGCCTCGAAACTTCTTCAATGCTGCCATCATTTCATCGGAATTCTCGACATATCCCAATCTGATCAAGAATGCTTGCTTCTCTGTTTGATTACTTGTATCAACTCGCTTAATGCCTGAAGATTTCGACTTACCAGCCAAACTAAACAACTTCACTGGATCCTCCCTTATTATATGGAGTAAACGGTCTTTGTCAATATTCAAGTCCTTGCAAACACTTTTTGGCTGCTTCAAGGGGCATGAGCTCAAAAGTTCCACATGCGTTGACACGACATCAGCACAACTTTCTGCATCCATTCCAATGTCAAACAAGAAAAGGATGGCTTTCATGAGATTCTTCGCATACTTGGCTGACAATATCTCAGGGATTTCTATGAACAAAGAAGAAATCTTTTCTTCTTCGAGACCCAATTTGATCAGCTGCCCGAGAAGTAAATAAACCTTCTTTCCAGAACCTTCAAACACTACAGTAGGATCTGCTTCAAACAAATTCTGCAGATGCTCTTCATTACAACCCAACTGTTCTAGAAAATTTATTGTTTCGAGCATTCTTCTCCAGTTATACGATCCTTTTGGCGTCAAGTGCCTACTGATCCAATCGATTCCTATTCCTAAACCGTGCAATCTCTCAAGTAATTCAACAAAGTGATTGTCAACATCACCAATCAGGAGAGAGGGGCAACAAATGACCAGCTTAATCACAACACTTTTGCTTAGGCCCAAGTCCTCATAAGCCTGGAGTTTTGAAGCTAGCACCCCATTGCCATACATGAAAACCTCAAAGGATTCCCTGAACATCTTACCAATCTGGTGACGAGGGACTCCATAATCAACTAGGACGTGGAAGTTGTCAAGCAAGCCCTTATCATCGCCCAAAAACACAGACTTCCGTGGGCCAATCAAAGAGTATTCGCTTGGCTTCACACCCAAGCTCTCCATAAAGGGTTCAAACTCATTAATTGGGTTGTACATAAGGAACTTAGTCAAAGACTGCTCAACATCCTTCTCCCCGTCCACCTCTGAGAGCAATTTCCGAAGGAAACGAGGCGAGTTCTTGCTGATGTACTCTGCATCTGTGAAGCGGAGGCTCCTGGTGGAATACAAGTACTCAAAGAGCACCGCTTGAGCCTCTGTTCTAGCAGCAGCAGAGCTAGCACTTTGAAAGCATTGGACTTTCACAGAAACCAGAAACGGGTTTTTAGCAGGGCCCGGTTTATGAGCGAGAAGAGCTCCAGGCAAAGTTGAGCGACCGAGAGGTAACATATCAGATAACTTCCTCGCAATTTTACAGAATCTAGGCATTAATATCATCATGGCAAAGACATACAATTGGCAGAGCCAGAGAGAAGAAATTAAGCAGGCCACGACATACGAACAAGGGATTCGTTCGGATTTGCATTTGTTGGCAGATATTTTGCACTTATTAGATAAGATTGATGAAGGGTTCAAAGAGTGAATAGGCAGGAAACCGGGGCAGTGGGCTGTTACCTATTGGTGAAGAGTCAAAAATTTCGTCTGTTAGACGAACGAAGAGGAAGAGGACCTCGTGCTCGTCGTCTGCTCCAGCGGCGTAGTTCGACCTCCGTTAAACCCTAGGAGGCTACGGCCACGGCGACGAGGGTTTTTTTTGGGAGAACGGCGAGGGTTTTGGCTTCCAAAATCCTAGCCCCGGTTTCTAATACCGTTGTTTTTGCTCTAATCTTTCCATTTATTCATTTCCCTCCTTAAGGGATAAAAATATATATTCACAACTTTAGAGGTTGTGACAATAATCAACTTTGAAAAAATATGCAAAATAACTATTATTTTAGATGATTGTATAATATATCTGTCAATTTTCTTTATAAACTTGATGATGTTAGAATTTTTGTCAGTTAGGTTTACGGAACACTAACTAGGATATCAAATTGATGCACACATTAGTGACAACTCAGTCTCATTTGACACGTAGATGCCACATCATATTTAACTATGGCCCTCAATTCCTCTTCTGCCTTTTTCGTCGCAACGTAAAGGCTCGTCGGCCGATTGGTGTGTGGAGCTCCGAGAATCCATGATTGGAAAGGGAGACCCACAACAACCAACCCTTCTACAATGGTGTCTGAACTCATGGATCATGATTTCAAAACATGGCGATGAGACATTCTTCACACTCACACATTTCAATCCCTCAGACAGAATTCGAATCCTAAGTATCCCACTACTACAATAACCACAGGGTGATCATCCGGTTTGGGGTATGAAAGGAAATGACAAGTATAGTGTGAGAAGTGTCTAATTTCTATGGAAAACGATCACAACTAATGACATTGGGAAAGATATACTTATGTGAATTGGAAGCAAGTCTGAAACTCCATGTACCCCCTAAAGTATGTGTGTTTGCCCGGAAATTGATTAATAATATACTAACTACATGCGGGAACCTAGTGGCTAGAACATCTCGAGGTTGTGAAGAATGTCCGTTCTGTGGCTCAAAATAAACCTAGAAGCATATATTTCATAAGTGTGGATGGGTAAAACGAGTTTGACTACCCACAAATGTAAGGAAATCATTGGTGGAAGGGAGAATCTTACTTGTGAAGAATGGTTATGTGAGTTGAAACAAAAAGCTGACTAAAACGAGATCCGCTCGTTCGTGGTAGTTTTGTGGTTTATCTGGGGAGAGAAAAATTACCACCTCCGAAAAAAAGAAAAAGAAAGAGGAGAGAGGAATCATCTCTCGAGCCCTAGACTGCCTCACTAGCATGCAAAATATAAAGCAAAACATGACTTATCTAGGCTATCTTCCCTTAAAGAGAACGATCATGAAAGCCACCGAACGCCGGGGTCTTCAAGATCAATGTCTATGCATCAGTTCTAATTGGCCAAGGCACTAACTTTGGAGTTGTAATCCGAGAAGCAGATAAGAGATTAGTTTTGCAGCGGTCAAACACACTCGGAGGCAATGGCCACCAGACGGAGCTTGCCAAAATTTATGTAATGAGACTTGGTTTGGAAATGACGACGATCTATGATTTCAGGTCAAGAGAGGTAGAGTGATTGTCTCTTTGTCGTCCACAAACTGAGAAATGAGGAATCGACTGATTTAGAAATCAGAGACGTGTGCAGGGATATCTGGACCGAAGCAACTCAAGCAGGCTGCATCGTCTTTTCTTTTGTGGGCTAAGAATGCAATAAGCCCGCCCACCTTATGGTCAATACTTTGTGTAACAGAGAGGAGGTGGAGAGATGGCAGGCAGCATGCTCAATTTTCCTTGTACCACTGCTGTTAGCAGGCCAAAAGCCTAGTTTGGCAAGTTAATCTACAATATATTTAAAGAAGATTCATGGGTTAAATTTTCTCCATTTCAAATTTCGAGTAACCAAAGTGAAAGTAGGAAGGGTATTTTGTCTTCACAATTAGTTATTTTTATGTATAAAAATATATCAGCACTAAAATTTGAAACATGGTCTCTTTAAACAAAGACAAGAAACATAACCAATTACACTAAACAATTACGTTGTATACTTTTCATTACCAAACATACACGGAGTTAAAATATGAAAAACAGATGACTTTTGCATAACGATAAGCTAACTCACTAAGTCTCCTGTAAGTATCTTTATGGTGTTTGTGACTCGCTCCTACTGTCACTCTAGAAAATGGCCAAGTATAACCACTTCCTAAAGCGTAGTATAGCGGGTTTGGGTTTTAATGTAAACCCGGGTCCTAGATGTGATGACTACTCAGTGAATTCTTATTATTTAGCGGTGAAACTTTAGTGCAGGTTCAAACAAGCAAACAAGCAATGCAAGCAAGAAGGTTGTTTTCAAGTCGAGAGAGGTCACCCGAATATGGTTCCCCCTAGACTGTAGTTAAGCCGGATTGCAATTTACCAAATTCAGTTTTAATGATAGTTATACTGCGGGAGGTTCTTAAGCAGTCTGAATCTCGACTAAAGGTCTCCAGACCCTCTCAACCTGAGTCCCCAGCGGGCAACTAACCTCCACCGGAGTAAACAGATTGAGGCCCTAACGAACCAAACCTCCACTACCGAAGCAAATTCGGTACAGAATAGTGAATTGACACATCGACTAAAGTCGTCAATTCACTACCTTCAATTAAGGGTGCTCTATCAACCTAGGCAGATATTCTCTTTCTAGGTCAAAGCAGAAATAACAGGAATTTGATCAGGATTCATGTCATTCAACAATTCAGACCTCAATTGAATATAATCAAATCATAGAATCTGTACTTGGGTTCATACAATCAGACCTAACATACAAATCTAGGGTTCTCCATACCCAGATGAATGAGGAAGTTACTCCATGGAGAGAGAAGCAAAAGCAAGCTCAGATGCAGAAATCATGCTGTGAAGGATGAGTTTCTGCTCTCGGTCGTCAATCGACACTTCTCCAAGTGTGAGCCGAGCTCCAATGGTGATGAAGATCAAGCTAGGGCACTTGGGAACTCTGGTTCGTCGCTTTCTCTCTCTAGGAATCGCTTTTTCTCTCTAAAACTCGGAACCCTTCACTTTTGGCCTACTTTTTCCATAAGAAGCTGTCTGTCGCGATCCCCGGCCTGAATACCTGGTCGGGTATTTTGGGTGGCGACCGGGTATGTTCGAAACGCACCGTCGGGTAACAGGGGAAAATCCCCGGTCATGGCCAAGAATCCCCGACCGGGAATTTCTGCTTCTTGCTCGGGGCCCCTTCTGCTTCTCAAAGACGCCCGAAGCGTCAAATCCCCGGTCATCTCCAAATAATACCCGACCGGGTATTTCTGCTCATGGCCGGGTATTTTGCTCTTCCAGCACACTTCACCCCAAATGTGCTCCTTTCGACCCGAAACTCATTTCTTCGCCTCGATGCCAACGCTAAGCCCTGAAATATGACATAAACGCACAACCTAGCGTGAAATCGGCTTAAAACACGAGAATCAACATCTCAAACGGCTCAAGAATAGGCGTAAAAATATGTGTAATCAATGGTCTATCAAACTCCCCCACACTTAACCATTTGCTTGTCCCCAAGCAAACCTAACTCAAACTAATGCAACTCTCCAGACCTCTATAGCAACAAACAACCTCGATCGTCGGTAGAGGATTTCCTAGATCATATAGCAGCTTACGAGTTCAACTGGTCTTCTAAGACATTCCCTATCTCTCTCAATGTGAGTACTAGACTCAAGTCAGGATCATGAGAAGAAGTAAAAGTAAGATAGTCAGTTCATGGATAAAGGGACTCATATCATTCACAACCAAGGGCTCGTTGTACCGGGGTGCTCTTTCACTTCATTTCACCGTTGGAACCCCTTTTGCACTTTCACTTTATTTCTTTTTCTCTTTTTTTTCATTAACTTAGCGGGGGTTCCAACTGCAGTCTTTTGCACGGTCGACCCTTATTAGTCGAGCAAGAGCAATTTCAGTACATCTGGCTATCGCCAGAGTACTTCTTTTAACTCTTTTTCCTCAACTCGTGTGGAGGGTCAATGAAATTAAGGGGGATCGGAAGCTTTATCCGTGCCCTTAAAAACACATCCTCAAGTAGGCAAACCGTTCAACGGGTGGAAGTTTTACTTGTACTGGAGACAGCTTAGCTTCACCTTGTAGGAGTACGCCACTAAGGATCACTAAAATCTCTTCCAAAACCCAATTTTGTGCAATGAACGGTGCCGCACACGTTGGGCTTACCCCATGTTTAAGATTTAATGATTTCTACATGGAGGACCAACTGCTTTTCATTTTCCACATGAGCACCCTGTTCGATACACGAGTCCATAGCACAATCCAAATAGAGTCACCATTATCACATGAATTCAACGGTCTTAGCTCCACTAATTCACAAAATCAACTGGCACAGCAAAGAGCTAGATAGGAAAAATCTTATACTTCAACATCCTCCATAGTGCTACACTACCTCCCTAGGTTGCACATTACTATAGAGACTGTCAATTCAAAGCATGCTGAGCAGGCAATTTGCAAGGAAACACGTACTTGGAGCCCTCAAATTTAAAAATTTGGACAGTGGACTAGGCTCCAAGCACACAAACAGATCTAATGCAGTCAAAAGAGAAACACCCCCCCCCCCCCCACTTAAGATCGACATTGCCCTCAATGGAGAAGAGGGAAGGATAAGGGGAACAATGTTACCGGTGTGCACGGACTGCATGAGACTGGAAAGGGACCAGTCTGAGTGAAGCAGACTGGAGAAGGACCAGTGAGGGACAAAGCACAGCTAAAGGGAACAAAAGAACTCAAACACAGTACGTTAGGTCCAATGGTCAGCCCAATAGTACATCATCCAAAAACAAGAGAAAGAAAATAAAATAAAAGAAAAAACAAGACAGTTTGCATGCTGAGAGAAAGAAAAAAAACACAAAACGGGTCCACGAGTACAGCCTACTCGAGCCTGGTGAAGTCGATCTGGTCCATGAGATCGTCGACCCCCACTAGTGGTGGTGATGGTGGTGGCGGTGGCGAGTGATCCCACCGGGTGGTCCAGTGGTGCTCCTCTGGTGGGTGACAAGTCTGGAGCAGGTGCTCCGAGTACTCCATCAATCGGCGGCCACGATCCCGCTCCCGCTCGATGAGAGCACCAGTGACTCCCATCTGGGCCTCCATCCGGTCGAGGCGCTCGTCTACGACCGTCAGCCTGGACTGGTACTCGGCCTGGTGGGCCGAATACTGCTGGTAGAACTGGACCTGATGGTCCATGAGCTGCTGGTTCTGAAGCCCGAGCTACTGGAACTGGAGCCCCCTCTGCTGGAACTACTCTGTGAAGAAGTCCATCGACGGGCCAGAAGCCATCGACGGACCAGAAGGACCGGAGGA